AGAGGAGAAAGAGACTTTGAAGATTACATTAGTGTGACAAGATGCCTGAACAAATGGAAGAGATGCTGAAGTAAAAAGATTTCAAAGGGAAGGCTTCACATTGCTTTATAATTCTTTGTTTTGTCTTCCAGGGCTGCCCTTTCAAATTTTCTGTTCAGCTCCTTGACTTCGTGATTTGTTTCCTTTTCTTTGGCTTCTTTGCATTGTAGTGCATTATTTAGTGTCTCTTCTGACATTAATTTCCCTCTTTTCTTCTGCCTCTGTCTTTGTAATGACCTTCTGCATTCTTCATGGATGATATTCTTGATATCCTCCCAAAGCTCATGTAGTCTTCTTTCATTAGTGTTCAAGGTTTCAAATCTGTTTTTGAAATAGTTTTTAAATTCAGGTAAAAGAGACTCAAAGTCAAATTTCGGTTCTGTGGCTTTGTTTTCATTAGCTTCAGCCTGAACTTGCATGTGAGCAGTTCTACAATTAGCAGTCAAGAGATAAAAAGATGTGTTACGTTGGGAAAGTCAAGGACCTCTCCAAAGGGCTAGAGAGTGAGAATGTTGGTTGTAAAGGCTCAGGTGTATCTGAGCCAAGCCACAGTCTTTTCAATTGTTTCCTAAACATATGAAAGTTGGACAATGAATAAGGACGACAGAAGAAGAATTGTTGTTGTTTTGTGCCATGGAATCATCTGCAACTCAAAGTGACCCTATGCACAACAGCTCCGAACCCTGCCCCTATCCTGAGCCAATCTCATCATCTCTGACTAACCTAATCTCATTTCTCCAGTCTCCATGTCAATCCATTTCATCTGGGGTCTTCCTCTCCTGCTCTGTCCCTTCACCCTTCCAAGCATGATGTCCTTTTCCAAGGACTAGTTCCTCCTGGCCATGTGCCTAAAGTATGTGAGATGGAGCTTCAAACTCCTTGCCTTCTGAGAGCAGTATTAATGCCTTTGAATTGTGGTGTTGGGGAAGAGTACTGCATACTCTATGCACTGGTAAAAGAATAAACAAGCCTATTTGGAAGAAGGAGTGGTAACCACTTCCTAAATAACATGCCTTTGGAAACCCTATGAATTTTGATAAATGTTGATAGTTGTAGAGGGGCTTCAAACCTTTTGTTCATAATGTTGCTACGAGTAGTACTTGACTTGAAGGCAGTCAACAGCAACAACAACATCTAAGAGAAAGAGCAATAAGGGTACTACTCCTTGGAGGCAAGGATGAGGACACTTCATCTCACTTACTTAGGGTATGTTTTCAGGAGGCACTAATCCTTGGAAAAGACATAATGCTGGAAAAGGTGGAGTGTCAGAGAAAAACAGAAAGACTCTCAACAAGATGGACTAAAACTTTGAGTGTAGCAGTATGGGCCCAGGCATGTGGGAGACAAAGAGGACAGCACAGGATAAAACACAGTTCTGATCTGTTGTTCATAATGTCACTATGAGTAATCCCATTAAGGGTACATACAATAATGCAAGATGTTAATACAAACAGAAATGGTGTGCTATGAGAGATGAGGACTCTATATTTTTAGTCCAATTTTTCCATAAATAGAAAACAGTTCTGAGAATAAAGTCTACTTCAATAAATGAAGGTGGATTTAAACCATCAGTCTTTTGGTTAACAATCTAACATTTAAAATGCAAATGACAAAGAGCTAGTCACATCTGAAAAGACAAACTAACCA